GTCTTGAGAAAGACTATTGTTGGTGGTGACTGACAGTTTGTTGTGAAGTGTAATGGTCCAGGTGAGTGTAGTCTTGAGAAAGACTGTTGTTGGTGGTGACTGACAGTTTGTTGTGAAGTGTAATGGTCCAGGGTAGTGTAGTCTTGAAAAAGACTGTTGTTGTTGGTGACTGACAGTATTGTTGTGAAGTGTAATGGTCCAGGTGAGTGTAGTCTTGAGAAAGACTGTTGTTGGTGGTGACTGACGTTTTGACAACCTGAGCGGAAGTCATCTTCAAAGTCCAGTGAGAAAACGAGAGTAGTAAAATAATCCTGTATAAAACAACATTGTCTTACTAAGGATTTATAGAAAGGGTATTGCGGATTTGTTTTTTCATAATAATCAGTATTTAAATTTAAAAATGATGGCATATAAACTCAAATGCCTCCTATGATGTCACACTCATTATCATATCTAATTGGAAGTATAAACCTTAATATCGTCAAGATGCATCTCTCAAGTGATATAAAATATTTTGTTATTCAACTATTTACTTCATGAGAGATGAGGCGGTAAGCCGTGTGGGATGGGCTGGGAAATCGTATAAGAACATGCGTAATAGGTAAATTACGAGCCTTGTATGAAACGACTGAAGATGAGTGCCAATGGGCGTTTCACGACTTCAAGTCGCGTAAAATAATCCAGCTCAACTAAAAGCCGTGGACAGCTGTTTTGGCCTGTATTGGGCCTCGTCAGTACGGTGTATCTAGTGGGCTGGTAGAATTACTTCATGAATCAATACTGAGAATATTGAGTTAGGGATGAGGGGCATTTAAATGGGTTCTTCTTTCTGTCTTTATCGTTTATCGTTCTTGTTCGTGGCTTGTGAGTTTTCGAGATTACAGGAAGAAGAAAACGCTCTAAAACAAGTCTGTTTTTGTTTGAACAGGAAACAACGTTACAGCTATGGAATACCTTCTTTTTTAGTTTGATTTTTCCTTTTAGGATGATTTTTCTCTTCAAGTCATTCGGCGACGGCAGCTTGTTTTCTTTTCTTTCAACGCATAAATTATTCGTTGCGAGCATGTCGCCGAGTTCGTTCATGAAGATATCTGCCATGATTGCCTAAGTAAAAAGTATGGAACATTATGTTCTTTCATCTGGTCTAGTTTTAATTGATGTGGTGTAGCGTAGTGCGAGGTGGTGTGATGTGACGTGCGTGAGGGAATGTTGTGTGATGCGCGTGACGTATTGTGGTGTGGCGTGGTGTTGTGTGACGCGCGTGACGTCTTGTGGTGTGGTGTGGTGTGGTGTGGTGTGGTGTGGTGTGGTGTGGTGTGGTGTGGAATGGTGTGGTGTGGTGTGACGTGCGTGTGGTGGTGTGGTGTGATGTAGTATGGAGACGTGTGGGGACGTGGGTATGAATGTTGGGTGTGGAGAAGTATGACGTGCTCTGTTATACTGTGCCGTACTACACTATTTCTGTAATGTAATCTGCGGTGGTATACTGTGCTGTTCCCGTGCTGTGCTGTGATGTACTGTACTGCGCCATGATATAAGTACTGTGTTGTGCACAGTTGTACCGCACTCTGTTGTACAGACTGGACAGTACTACGCTTTGCTTTGCTATTCCTCGCCGTACCGTGCCGTGTCATGCTGGTGTAGTACCCTACCTGTTGTTGTTGACTACAGTGGTTTTCAAGTGATAAAATAACAGGATAGTCCGACGTTTCAAATGCGTATTCCTGCATCATAATCAAACAATCATATCAACAACCAGTGTTTGTAAACTCGATAAAATTCAAGTCTGTCTGTTATACACCTATTATAAAAACAGGTTTTCGGTCAGAGATTTGAAATCTGGAATCTGAGACAATTCACCAAATTCACAGCTCAAGCCCATAATTACTTTTCTGTCTCAGATTTTAGATTTCAGATTTTAGATCTCCGAACGTTGTTTTAAAATAGGTGCATAACACACAGACTGAAATAGACCTAATCTACTATTTTCCTATTTCAGACCACGTGTCATTCCCTAGAGTATCATTTCTTTGTTTAACGGTTGCACGTAAGAAGACACATGAATGTGGATACAACTCAAACAAAGAATCTTATTCTCAAGAGAATGACACGTGGTCTGAAATGGGAAAACATTAGGCCAAGCTAAGGAGGTCTCAGTTCCTTTTTCATTTCACTTTACGTGTCATTCCCTAGAGTATCATTTCTTTGTTTAACGGCTGTGCATGAGAAGACACGTGAATATGGATACAACTCAAACAAAGAATCTTATTCTCAAGAGAGTGACACGTGGTCTGAAATGGACAAAACATTACGCCCAAGTGAATTTGGTCTATTGCAAAGTAGTTGTGTAGGTTAAATAGGTGTGTACTTGACTTTCTCTGTAAAATCCCTCGATCACTCACTCTTATATCACT